TGTCATAACATTTGCAAAATAATAGATAAATCTGAAGTTATAAAGAAATGGTATATTACAAAAAAACCTATCACGAGCTACTTAATCATAAAGAGATACACATAAAAAAAACCCTTTTCACAAAATTTCAAACAATTATTTAATTTCATTTCTCCGGAGGTGTGTAAAAGACTAAAGTATCCCATCACATTTTAATATGCTTTGATTTTATCATTTAATTCAATTTAACCTCAAATTTCACCAATTATTCATTTTTCATCCAAACCCAATTTTTGAGGTCTATTCCGCCCGTCGCCGCCGTTGACTGCCGGTCTGTGGTGTTGATTTTTTTCTTCTTTCTGCCGCAGCTGAATGGCGGTCAACGCCGGTCTCCAGGGCCTTGAATTTTGTTTTTGAAACATTTTTTTTCCTCAATATTTTTTGGCTCATTTAAACAGTAATATTATTGTGGTTGACAGTCATATTAACTATATTATTGTTTAACACAGTAGTATTAACTATATTACAGTTTAACACAATCATATTACTATATTAACTATATTATTGTTTAGAACAATAATATTAATACAACAAAAATCACTATTATTGCGAAATTGAGTAATATTAATATGTTTATGGTTCAACAACGGCAAACATAACAAAAAGCTAAAACAATTAATATTGATATGGTTGACAGTAATATTACCGTCAACCACAGTAATATTATTGTGTTTACAATAATATTACAATAGTAGATAGTAACACTCTTAGATTCAAGGAATGCTCTCACAAAGAAAAACATTTAGGTCTTCCTTTATGTCTTCCCGAATCCAAAGCGGAAGATTTTAATGATGTTTCTCATAGAAATCAACTTGAAACTCAAATGGATGGAGAAGGCTAAAACTCTCTCTCTCAAGCTGGTATGTCCATCCTGATATGTGATATCAATCAGTTGTGTCCCAAGCCATTCCATCATATCACATGGCTATCTTCTCCCTTCCAAAATCTATCACCCACAAGCTTGATGTTGCCTTTCGGAAATTTTGGTGGGGTCAAAACAGTAATGGTAACTCTTACATGCCTAAGTGTTGGGATACCATCAGCATTTCCAAGTTTGTGGGTGGTCTGGGTTTCAAACGCATGAATGATGTTAATAACTCCAAATTCTCCAAACTTGCTTGGGCCATGACCACTCCTAATGACAACCTTTGGTCCCAACTTCTTCAAGCTAAATACCTGGGTCTCTAGAGCTTTTTTCAATCAATCCTCTACTATTTCCCGTCCTTCATGAATCTGGAAGAACGTTTCTCAAACCAAGAGTATTACCCTCAAATATGCCTGCTACTTCATTTCCTTTAGGTTCTGATGTGCTCATTTGGCATGATCCTTGGATTCCCACTCTTCCTCAATTCAAGTCTTCTCCCCTCACTCACATCTCTCCCAACTACAATCTGGTTAGAAATCTGTTGATTAATAATTCTCCAGTCTGGAACATAAGCCTCCTTCTTGAGTTGTTTCCACAATCTCTGGTCAATGAGAACAGGAAAACTCACATCTCTCCTGATTTTAAACCAAAATCTCTTTTTTGGGTTCCCTCTTCGTTAGTCAAATTTACCTCTAAAAGTGCCTATATCACTGAAAATTCTACCCGTTTTGAGAGTGCCCACCCCTCTTCTTCCTTCCCTTGGAAGCTTCTCTGGAAAGCTAAAATTCACAACAGGCACAAACTCCTTATGTGGAGGCTTGTGCACGATATTCTGTCTACTAACCAGAAACTCTCACTCATCATTCCAATTCACTGCTGCCTCTGCCCTCTTTGTGGTCTTGAGATGGAATATGCCAACCACCTCTTCATTTCTTGCCATTTCATTACTCAGCTGTAGTTTGGTTCTGTGTGGAATCTTAATTCGTATGGAACCTTTCTTTGTTACTACTTTGAGCTCTTGGATTGAGATGGTTCTTAAAAAGAATGGAGGTTTCCTGCCTAGCGAAAACCTTGAAAAATTCTTGGTGCATATTGCTCTTCTTTTTGAAGTCTTATGGTGCCTCTCCTCCTTCATTACAGGAAATCCTCTAAAGAATTTCTTTACTTGCCTGGCCCACTGGTCTAGCCAGCTCTCATCTTGTCTCAACAATAGTCTCTCAAGCTCCAAAGTTTGGACCAAACCTCGTCCTGGTTGGCTCAAGATTAACTCTCACTGTCCGTTTCAAAATGGCAAGGCTACCTTACCATTTATCATCCGAAATTCAAACGGCTCAATCATCCATGCACAATCAAATGATTACTTTTGCCATCATGTCCTTGTTGCGGAAACCAGTGAAGCTTGCAGATTTATAAAAGAAGCAACGCTAGCCAATATTCTCTTTGAATCTGACTGTCTCAATGCCATCATGTTTATTCAAGATCAATTTGCAGCTATTCATCATTGGTCTACCCAGGTTCTCATTGAAGAAATTCGAAAGCTGTGTGGAATTTGGCCCAACTGGAAGTTCACTGCCTTAGAAGTTCAAACTTTGCAGCGCATCACCTGGCTAATTGGTGCGTGATAATTGTATCTGAAATGATTTATGCAGCGCAAAATTACGAATGTCGTTCACAATAGTCTTCTCTTTCTCTCTCTAAAAACCCCCAAATCCACCCAAACCCCAAAAGCCCCAAAATTCACAAAAACCCTCAACCTCTCTCACAAATCCTTCCAAATCCGAAAATCTCATCAATTTTAAAGGTAATTAATCATCTAAAGTAGTTATATATATTGAATTTGTGTTTAATCATGTGAAAATTCCAACAAAATCGCGATTTGGGATTGTTTTTAGTGTTGAGTTTTCGAATTTTCCACGCCCAAAATGGGAGTGTGAAAGCAGTTTCCACGCCTAGCCTAAACCAGGTGTGGAAACTGCTTTCACAGGCCCATTTTGGGCGTGGAAAATTGGTTTGGGTGTTCTGTTCAGACGCCGGTTCTGGACCGCTCGTCCGGTTCAAATTTTTTTTTTTTACCAGTATAAACGAAATGAAGTATTATATTTAAATAACTATTAGTAAACAAACTCGCGTTGGCCTAGTTGGCCAGGTGTTACGTCTATTACACAACAGACCTGTGTTCGAGTCTTGCTTATATATATGAATTTTAAATACTTTTGCGCGCCCAAACGGGGCTTGAATCGGGCTTTTTAGCGCCCGGTTTGGTCGTGAGTCGCGTTTTCGCGATTTATAGAACAAAAACGAACAAATTTTACTTCATTGGGTTCCGTATCTCGATCCTCATTCAATGCACTCATTTTTCTTTGCAAATCGCTACAATAACATAGGTTTTGGAACGATGTCGAATATAAAAGCTATTAAAAATAAAATTGTAGAACTTCATTAGGTTCCGTATCTCGATCCTCATTTCGCTACACTAACATGGATTTTGGAATGATTTCTAATATAAAAGCTATTAAAAAGAAAATTGTAGAACTTCATTGGATTCAGTATCTCGATCCTCATTCGACGCACTCATTTTTATTTGCAAATCGCTACAATAATATGGGTTTTGGAACGATTTGTAATCTAAAAGCTATTAAAAATAAAATTGTAGAGAGAGAAAGATACGTATATAGTGGATTCTTTAAACCCGCATTCGTAATTTTGCTACTGCGAATATCACCTCACTAATTGTATTGTTGGTTGTATTGATGTTAATTTCCTGCCCATTTCTTGCTTTCGTGATGGGGGTCATCCCATTGTAGACTCTTTTCATGCATTTGGTTATTATAATATAATTATCTTATCAAAAAAAAGAAAAAAAAATGCTCATAGACTGTGTGTTGTTAAATGTACATTTTTACACTTTATCGTACCTTTTTTTTTGAGCTTTTGGTGTGTTTTAACGATAATTGGTGCTTAAAAAGTTGATTTATTGTATTTTATGTACAAATTGAAGAATTGGAAAAGTATGGGGTCAAAACTGCAATTTTGGAGAAAATATGGGCCAAAAGTAAAAAAATCAAAATTTTGAAGATGTAAGGCTCGGACGGCCGTCCGAGTTTTAGTTCAAATCATGGGACGGCCGTCCGAGACTCCAAAGCTGCGGAGTAAAGGGATTTTAATTGCACAAGGAAACTGACTTCTTCCCCAAGTTCTTCACCCTATACAAGACCAAGTCAAGCACACAATTGGAGATCCTTTTTTACGCAATTTCAAGAGAACGAAGACAAAGAATTCGAAGACTTCAAGCGTAGATTTATCGTCTATGATTTATTTTATTTGTGTTTTTCCTTTAATCATGAGTAGCTAATTTTCTTATTTCTAGAATTTTATGGAACCCTATGTGGGATTTATGAACCCAATTCTATGATTTTATGCAAGTTTTAATTCCGGATTATTTCTTCTACTAGTTTTATTAAGTTCATGAAACTGGCCACTTTATGCGCTTTTATGTTATTGTTAATCGCATGAATCGGAAGATCGGGTTAATAATTAGAACTGTGGTAGAAGAGCCTTTGTGGTATTAACATAGGAATATAGTTAATCTCTTAGGTAGCCATTATTGTGATTTGTGTTTAATGCCGTGTTCTAGAATTAATGCATAGGAATATAGTAATTGAATCTAGAGTATTAGAATCGTAATACACGCGGAAGCGGGTTACGATTATTTTAACATCTCAGGTAATAATCCAGGTTAATTGCTTGCATAATTGATGGAATTGGGGGAGTAATAATCACATAGGGGGGAGAATAAAATCCTAGGCTTGCTTATCTTGATTAAATCTTCGTTTTAAATTACTTTCTTCTTTTTGCTTGCTTTAAATTTAGTTTAATTTAGTTAATTCTCTCTAAAATCCGACTGTTTAGGATAGGCTTGATAATAATTGATAGAATTTAGCGTCTAGGATTAGATAATTAAATATACCATGTGGGTTCGATATCCAGACTTTTAGTCCACTATATTACTTGTACGATACGTGCACTTGCGTGTAGGTATTTTAACCAACATGTGTTAAAGCCGTACCCAGGTGGGTTCATCCAATAACCCGACATATCAAATAAGTATCGATGCATCACACCGTTAAAACCTGCACGGCAACTTGTCAATTTATTCGTTACGGAAAGACCAAAAACATTTTGTGCTTACAAGAATTTAAACTTAGGTTCCAAGTTCGACAAGCATAGTCAAAAGAGCTTCACACATTTCACAAGCATCGTGTTCGTGAGTAGGGTCTTTATTCCAAGAAGAGTAGACCATCCAAGAATGGTCAAGTTTGCGGTCAGGCCTCACAACAACCGAACCAGGCACCTCAGCATCGCGACACGTCACAAGGCCGTCGCTTTTCTCTCCGTACCGTAGTTGAAGGTGCAAAGCGCACACAGCCATTGCAGCCGAAACTGGAACTATAACAGGCACGTTTTTTCGCGCTATTGCATCGTCGGTACTGCCGATCATGTGAGGCAGCCATGGGAGTTCTGCGTGTGCTATGTGTGACATTGTTGATATTACAGCTGGCGCCACACTCGCTTCTGAATGGAACGAGATTATCGGAATATTGTCCGGGAGTTTGTGGTTCCGCACGAATTCCTTTCTTTTATCGTAGGTTAGATCCTCCAGTGCTCTTATATCACCCTTTTCAAATTCATCAGGAAATAAAAATAAAAACATTATCAGCTGGCATATGGGACTTAATTTACGAAAAATAAGAAACTCAGCAGCAAGTATTAAATTTTGAGATAGAACAATCATGAATATCATAAAATCAAAAGAACACTAAGATACTAGTATAAATTATAACGTACAAGGAAACTTTGCAATTTGAGAAAATAAAATCGTAGTCTAAGGTGGTGTTTGCAAAAGCTTTTACAAAAGCAGAAGTTGGTGATTATGAATTAAGTGAACGATAAGTACTCATTTCTAAAAGTTGGGGGTGTTTGCAAAATCCATGATAAATTAATTTTAAGCAACTTATTTTAAGAGAAGTAGTAGCAAAAATTGATATTGCAAACACATCAAAAGTGATTATGCGCCCAAAAAAAAAAGCTCAGAATCACTTTCTAAAAGCTTTTGCAAACCACCTAGATAATAATAAACATTCTTCAAAGAATATCAGAGTTTTAAAGTAGTAACTACCCAATCATCTACACGAGTTCCTTAATTTCGTTGTGATTTTTCAGAGTATATTCCAAAAAACATCAATTATAATTGATTCTTTAAAATCTATTGTGTCTAGTTTTATTTCTGGAGCACTTATATGCAATGTACATAAAGAGTTGTGTGTGTGTGTGTGTGTTTATATATATATATATATATATATATATATATATATATCATACTAATACAAGCAATCGGAGACAATATACTATTATTACCTTAATGAGTTTGCATATAATAAACTCCATGATACGACGGGTTTCCACGTCAGCGAGCTGGCCTTGACGAAGGATATCAGAAGCAATGGGGGTCCCACCATAAGGGCTCTGCACAAGCGCCAAACCAGCTACTTTATCTCTCAATTCATTTAAATATATCGACAATGCAGCTGCAGCATCAACACCACCTTTGCTGTGGCCCAGCAACATTACTCGCCGCTTCCCAGATCCCCAGTATAGCTCCTCTATATATTCCTTCAGTTCCCATGCATTCTGCTCCACCGACGCCTTCACAATAAAAAAAAGAAAAAAACATTTACGTTACGCGCACACAATTAATTAAAACAGATTAGCAATTTCGGTTTGGATTCCACGTCACCTCACTGTGAATTTTGGCAATATGGCAAGCTAGACCCATCTTCGAGAAAAATCTTTTGGTGCTCACAAAATACAAGGGGCCGTGATTACTGAATAATCCTGAAATTTTGCGTTTAGAGATAAATGTTTTTGCAGAAAATGGGAAAGAAAAATCATAATTCAAGGAAATGAACTCGCTAAACCTGGAATGAGTAGGTAAACGAACGAATCGGGTAGTTTGTGCAGCCCATTCCTAGAACAAAAAATATAATAGAGAAGTATGTACTCACGCTGGTATAATTAGATGAATTACTCGTTAAAAAAGCTACATATGTAACCCTAGTTGGTCCTAATTCCATTTACATGGAAATTCGACAATTTGTTTTGTAACTAAGAATACAACAATTTATGTTTGACAATCAAATGAATATGTACCTAATGCTCTGTAGAAGTTCCCGGAACCTAGACGAACCATCCTTCACTGGAGGCATTCGAGGATCACATTGCAACCACCCAATGTCACCCGAAGATCCATGCAATGTTTTAAGCACACGAGATGCAGTGCTATTTATTGCCAAAAATGAATATAATTAATTACTCGAGCAAGAATACAATTAACGTTACTCGAACAACTGGGAATAATCTTTGAATTTGTGTTAATGTTGTTCAAAATCAAAAGATTATGTTTTACCTCTGCACACAAAGTTTCATCCGTCTTATACGATAACAGAAACATCTCCATGATGCTAATGCTAATCCCCAAGCGGATTCGAAGCAGTATTTGGGGAGCATCAACCTACAAATATAGTACCCGACTGCATATTTTAAATGGCAAAGTAACTAATTCAATTAATAGGAGAATATTATACAGGTAAAATAAAAAAAAAAATGATTAGAGTCAAATAAATAATAGATTTGTTACAAACTATTACAGAGGAAGCTTGAACGAACGCACTAGAGCAATAATTTTACCCTCTAACAATGAAGCCGACACTCTTACAGTAACTTCGGTTTACGCTTTCGAATCCTAAATTTATGAATGATTGATCATTGCATTCCCTGACATCACTTTCATGAAGATCACAGCTTGCAATGTTAGAATAGCTTGAAACATTGTGATTGTTGCTTGTTCCAGATCTTAGATATTGGCCACGTGAACTGATCTCTGAATCTTGTAAGAATCCACTCACATCTCTAAAGAAAAGATCCTCTGTAATGATGCAATATAAAAAGAACAAAAGTTAAAACATTGCAAATCCAATGGTCAGAAGGTATCCAACAGCATCCACAAACAAAAAGAGTAGAACTTAGAACTTACCGATAAATTGGATGAGGCGATTGGCTATAGATGAAGTTAGTGCTAACATGCGAGAAAAGATATCATCCATCTGTATAGAAACAACAATAACTTGCATAAAGATTGTTGAATAAAGATTGTTGAATTACCATCTCAACCAAAGCTTAAAGCTGCCTTGCACTCGAAATATTTGAAATGGGTGGCTGTAGGATTCGAACTCAGGACCTTTTCATTGGCATTCAAACTCAAGACCTTTTCATTTAGCCTGGCTCTGATACCATGTTGAATGACTATCTCAACTAAAAGCTTAAGCTGTTATCATTTAATATTAATATCTCCAATAAAAAATATTATTTGTCTTGCAAGTTCATGATTCCGACACGCAAGAAACTAGTGTAGACAAGATATAATAGAACAGAGAACTGCGTTCGAGTTTTATTCAAATGATTATAGAACACATGTGACAAGATTCGAAAATGCTTCTGGAATGATACACATGAATCCGGAGATTAGATTAGGCTAAAACAGGGACTATTAAAACAATTAATCATTGAAAAACAACAATATTTGAATATTTCGTCATGGTTTAGTTCTCACCTATGAAGGGGTGACACAACACATCCTACATATATGATATCCGCTTCACCATTTTTACATCCCTGAAATAATAGGGCCAATATTAAATTTAAAGAAAAAAATAAAAAGAGAGACAGAGAGGGAGGGAGGGAGAGAGAGAGAGAGAGAGAGAGAGAGAGAGAGGTGCTTACTGCTTACTGAAACTGTGGAGAAATGCTCTAAAAATGGAAGGTTAGCCCCAAATCTGCAGGACCCGGTTGCTGCCTGCCTGTTAAATGAAGTATTTATAAAAAAAATAATAAATAAGTCAGCAAGAGAAATCTAGACATTTCCGTTTGCTATATAGTTTATCTTTCCGCAATACCTGCAACAATGTCCCCATTTCAGAATTCCACAACTTTATCCACTTCACAAAGCCCTCCAATATTAAATCACTTAATTTACGAAAAATAAACACTACTTTTATTAAACAAAAGAAGAAAAATAAAAGAGCAGCAGTAACTGTAAAATAAGTGGCGAAGAAAGTGCATAAAAAATTTAATAAGCCTGGAAAGTAGTAGTAGTAGTGATCGTGTAAATGGTAAACTCGAGACAGCAGTATTGAAGTATGTGAGGTAATAAGGGACACGTGTCTGCATGGTAATGCAGCGTTTGGATAGTCAGCAGCAGCAGATGGTTGAAAAAAGGACCCACCAGATAAGAGGGGTCAATTGATTTGCTTTCGATGGGTTTAGATGGACCCCAGATGGTTTGAAAAAAGGACCCCAGAAGATAGCGGTGGGTTTAGATGGTACACGTTGCACTTTCAAATTATGGGTTTTTATATATAATTGTTGACCAACCATCTTTATTATGTTTTAGGTTCGGAGTTTATATCTCTTTCACCAATAAGTCCTACCTTTTAATATGTATTATAAATAACCACTAAAATTAATGTATATGATAAAATTATCTCAACTCTTTAAATCCAATTCATAATTGTAACTCTAATTTAATTTCAATTTAATCAATTTTGACCACAAAAATTTGATTTGACTTTTTTTTCTGAATATTTTTTTGCAGTCGGTTTTCGGCGTTGACTTTTTTTTTCCCCTAAAATTTTAATCAATTTTTTTACGCCTGCCGTTGAACGTTATCCTTAATTGTACTGTCACTAACAATAGTTATCATGTTGCTGACAGTAATTGTACTATCGTTGGAAGTACATGTACATAATTGTACTTTCATTGGGCGTACATGTACGTAATTGTACTTTCGTTGGCCGTACATGTACGTAACTATCGTGGCAGTACATTTACTGTCAATCACAACAATATTATTATTTTTTGATTTTTTAATTTGTTTGATTTGTTGACAAGTCAACGTAATGACATTACTGTCGTTGACGATAAATTTACTGTAAACACAATAATATCACTGTCGTTGACGATAAATTTACTGTAAACACAATAATATTACTATAACAACAGTAATATTACCGTCAACCACAATTATATTATTGTGTTTACAGTAATATTACAATAGAAGACGTTAATATTATTTCGTTAA